GAATGGGGGATGTACGGAAAGCGCCCGTGGCGAGTCGTAATCCAAGATGGTGCACTGGATCTAACATTTTCAGAGCCGATAGTCGCGCTGATCCATACACTATTGCACCATAATCAAGACGGGATCGCACAAGGGAATTGTATAGGCGCAGCAGACATCTTCTATCTGATCCCCAAGTCTTCTTAGCCAATACTTTTAAGAGGTTCATACTTTTAAGGCATTTTTCCTTCAGACACTTCAAGTGGGAAATGAAATTAAGCTTCCTGTCGAAGATCACCCCCAGAAACCTGTGCTCATTTTTAACAGGCAACCGCATGGCTTTCAGTTCGAGGTCTGGATTCAAAGGCAGCCCACGGCGCAAGGAGAATGGCACACAAACCGTTTTTTCTGGAGAAAACCTAAATCCATTTTCATCTGCCCAAGTACCAAGTTTTTTTAGAGCCAACTGAAGCTGGCGTTCACAGGTAAAACTGTTACAGGAGGAACACGAGATTTGAAGATCGTCTACGTAAAGTGAGTATGAGATGGAAGACGGGAGAATTGTGGCAACGGAATTTATCTTGACTGCAAACAAGGTAACACTGAGGATGCCCCCTTGAGGAACTCCGTTTTCTTGAACAAATGGATCAAACAAAGTAGAGCCCAATCGAACCTGGAATGTCCTATTCATTAAAACGTCTCCTATACACTTCAGCATCCGGCCCCGAATACCATAGTTGTAAAGGTCTTTAAGTATTCCATACCTCCATGTGGTGTCGTATGCTGTTTCTAGGTCAAAGAAAACCGAGACAGAGTGTTGTTTATGCACGAAAGCTTCACGGATCATTGTTTCCAGGCGGACTAAGTGATCCACTGCAGATCGTCCGCGACGAAAGCCACACTGGTTATTTGCAAAAAGATTCTCTTTTTCTAAAAGGTACATTAACCGTCTGTTAATCAGTCTCTCATATGTTTTCCCCAGGCAGCTAGTGAGTGCAATGGGTCGGTAATTGGAAGGGAGCGTAGCGTCTTTGCCATGTTTCAGGAGTGGTATGATGTGAGCCCGCTTCCATGCCTGGGGAAAGCATGCCTTCTCCCACAGAGAGTTGAAAAAAAGAAGGAGTGTTCTGAGCGAGTCACGTGACAACTTTCGAAGCATAGCATAGTGCAATGTGTCTGGCCCTGGAGCAGACATCTTTTTTTACATCGAGAGCTTGTTCTAGCTCGCACATTGTAAAGGGCCCATTATATGGCTGCGAGTTAGACCCCCCCATAAAAATAGAGCAACTCTCTGCACGAGATTTAAACTGTTTAAATTCAGCACTATAATTATGAGAGCTAGATACACTATGAAAATGCTTCGCAAGAACATTAGCAACGTCTTTGACTGACCCCAAAGGCAGATTAAATACTGGAATGGTAAAAGCCCGGTAGTCACCTTTGATTTTGCGTACACGATCCCAAACCTCTTTAGCCGTAACAAAACTACTTATAGAAGAGAGATATTTCATCCAAGATTTCTTTTTTGCCTGCTTTCTTGTCCAGCGAGCTTGCGCTTTTCGTCTCTTAAATTTAATTTTGTTGTCCACGGTGGGGTACCTACGAAAAACATCCCAGGCTCTATTTTGTCTTGTAAGTGTGGTTGAACAGTCTTTGTTCCACCATGGCTTGCACTTTTTTGGCAAATTACCGGAGGTACGTGGGATAGAGTGCTCAGCTGCATTGACTATCTGTTGAGTAACATATGTTGTAGCCTCATCAGGGGACAGAGTGGCCAATAGTGAAGCATCAAGTGTAGCAGCTAGGCTGAAACGTTCCCAGTCCGCCTTGTCAAGTTTCCACCTAGGCATACGGTTTTGTAGTGTGGGGAGATCGACCACACTCTCTAAAACGACTGGAAAATGGTCGCTGCCAAATGGATTATGTAAAACCTTCCAAGAAAAGCAAGGAAGCAATGATGGTGATAAAATAGATAAATCAATGCAGGTGAAAGAGTTGTGTGCAGCACTAAAAAAGGTTGGGGCTTTGTTATTTAAAAGACATAAATTTGAAGACAATAAAAACCGTTCAATCACTTTTCCGCGGGAATCAACTCGTGCACTGCCCCACATGGTGTGATGAGCATTAAAATCACCTAAGATTAAAAAAGGCTGTGGAAGTTGAGTTAAAAGCTTCTGGAGGTCATGAATATGTACGGGGGTGTGTGGTGGAAGGTACAGTGAGACAACAGTAATGAGGCGGTCCGTAAGAACTCGTGCTGCCACAGCCTCAAGGGGCGTGTCAAGGGGGACCTGGGCACATGCCACTCCACTCTGCACAACAATGGCAACACCACCGGATGAATGAGAAGATGGGCGGTCTTTCCGGAAGAGGCGATAGTATCGTAAAACTTGGGTATGTGTGGACGTCAAATAGGTCTCCTGTAATGCTAAAGCTATGGGGCGTAGCTCATTAAGTAAAAAGTGAACATCATCTATATTATGAAGGAGACCCCGACAGTTCCACTGCATGAAACTAAAATGACTCATCACAGATTAATTAAATTATAGTTAAAATTGTGAGGTTCACAGCTGTGAGTGGACACAAGTTATGGTACACTCGGGGCAGTGACTCGAGGAGGTTTTTTCTTCTGGTCCCCCTTTTCGGGGGTATGCTTTGTACCTCCCTTGGCGGGTGGAGGTGGTTCTGTTGGATCAACAGATACCTCCATGGCCTCCTCCTCCCGCTGTGAAGTGGAAGGAGTGGGCCCCTCGCTGCTCTGAGAGGGAGTGGTGTCAAGCACCACTCGGGGCTTAGGGCCAGGACGATGGGGAACCGTCCTGGCACGTGGGGCTCTGGGCAGGGCCGCTGGGGTCTGAGAACCCACAGAGGCCTCGCTGGTGGTTGGGGGGCTGGGTGAGCACTCCAAGTCGCGAAGACTGTACTGAGTGCCCACCGTTGCCTTTAGTGGCGGCGCTGCCCCCCTGGCAGCCGCCTCGGCATAGGTGCCTCCTTGGAGGAAGAAAAATCGCTTTCTTGCTTCAGGGTACGTGAGGTTTTCTTTGATTTTTAGTGTTAGGATTTTCTTTTCCTCCTGAAACTTTGGGCAGGCTCGAGAGTAAGTGGGGTGGGCACCAGAGCAGTTGACACACTTGAGAAGTGTACCCTCGCATGTGTCAGCTGGATGGTCCGTAGCTCCGCACTTTGCACATGTCGTTTTCCCACGACAGGTAACAGAGCTGTGACCAAATCGTTGGCATTTGAAACATCGTCTCGGGTTTGGTATTTAGGGGCGCACCTTGCAGTGAAGATAGCCTGCCTTGATGTTCTCGGGCAGCACAGTGGAAGCAAAAGTGAGGACTAAGTGCTTCGATGGTCTCTCCTGTCCGTCTCTGCGTATGAAGATGCGTCGCACGGCGACCACACCCTGCCCGGAAAGGCCCTCCAAGATCTCCTCTTCGCTAGACTCCAGCAGGTCGTCCTCTGAGATGACGCCCTAGCAGCTGTTCAAGGTGCGATGTGGGGTGACAGATACTTTGTAGTCCGAGATCTTGTTTAAGTCTAAAAGAACAACACTTTGCACTCCGTTTTCCACCTCAACGAGCAAGTCGCCAGATGCTAGTTTCTTTGCTTTGAAGTTTTTACCAATTAGGTTTTCTAAAGTCTTTGAAATAAGAAACGGTGAAAGTTTGGCAAGTGGTTTTCCATTTTCTGAGTGCATTACCAGAAAGCGGCTGAAGCTATTCTGGGCAGCAACTAATGTCTCTTTGCTAAATACTTCGGTTCGGACCCTTTTCAGGGTTCGATCGAGGGAGGTTTTTTGCTTGGAACCCATATGAAGGGCAGAAACTTCGGCATCCGTAGCGCACGACCCACCGCGGAGTCCAACAAGGGGATAGGTAACATCTCATAACAGGTCTGGCTTGTCTGAGTATGTTACTCTACCAGTGCTACTAGGAAGCTATAACCAAGTGTGGATCAAGAGAGTGTTCTGTCGCCACCCAAGGTTAGCCCTTGCCGCCAAAGAAGGTGAAAACGAAGAATAGGAGAAAGGAGGAAAGAGAAAGAAAAGAGGGGATAGTAGAAGAAATGGCGACTGACTGAATCATCCTGGTCGGGCCAAGCCAGGACACCCGTCTACAGGAAGCAGGGGCCAAAGTGGTGTGTTGCCTCGCCCGGGGGGCCCCGAAGGGTCCAAACCTACCCCGGGCTCAGCTCAACCACCAGGATGCCCTTTTCCCTGGACACGGGCTCGCCACGCACAGCCAGTCGTGGGTGGGTTTTAGCCACTTTTACTCAGGGTCTGTGGTGTCGCCAAAGTGGCTAGGGTCCGTGGTGACGCTACTCACCAAGCACCTAGCACCTAAGGTGCAGGCGCCCCCTGCGGAGCTCGGGGTCCGTGGAGACGCCACTCTCCAAACACCTGCTTTCACAGGTGCCCCCTGCGGGGAATTGATTCGGTGAAAATAGGGCCACCGAATGAGCTTCGCTTTAGAGTGTACACCTCAGCCATCTTGTTGCTCAGAGAAGTTGTTCCACGGTTACCTGAAGCTTTATCTAAAATCGCACGTCAACGCTTTTCCGTTTTCCAGAATGCTGGGACAGTTAACGACAGAGCAAATCGATTATAATGATATAAAGAGACGGACGGACGGCGGACGCATCTCCTCGGATCCGCCCCTGGCTGAGAATGAAAGCTGGCGCCGCCCATTCTATGTTTGCACGATTTCCTCAGCGAGGCCGCCAAGCAGTTGGAGGTTGGTGGGTGAAGTAGGGATGGAGATCGAACCCAGGATCCCTGGGTTCTGCAGTGCGAGCTTTCCCTCCACACGCTCCGAGCTAATGCGCACTAACCCACTCGACCACCGATCCCCTGGATCCCCCATTACTGTCCTTGTCGAAGACGCTACGAACTTACATCACTTACATCTTCAAATCGACTCAAAACGCCGCCAAACCAGCCAAAGAGCGCGTTGGTGCTGCCATCTCCCCGAAAATAAATGAACCAACGCCCATGACATTTTGAAAATTTAGACATACCAAAAAAGTAAAAGGAATCGTGAATTTTATGCGCGTAGATTCGTTTTTTTGTGTTTTATTTTTTGCATTTTACTGTTCTTGCGATATTGTGATTAATCAGAAAGTTTTTACTTTCTGATTAACAGTTCTTTTGTTGCTTTACGCTTTTTTTTCCAATCACCAGCATCGCCAACGTGGGCCGCTGACCAATCGTTGTCAGCCACGAAAACTTCTGTGTTTTTAAACCACGCCGCATTCAATGCTCGACTCGTCATCTCTTCATGTCGCCCGTCTAGTCGAAGCGTAATATCGCGTTTTTAAATCTACCTTCAAGTTTAATTTATTCTACACACCCATCATGGCACTGGGTAAGACGAAGCTTTTCTGTGGAATCGTCGCGTTTTTTTTTCGTCTATAACGCGAGCCAACAGCACCGATAGTGTAGGCGTAGCCCTAACAAAGTTTTGTACCACATGATGCTACAGCAAGTTTTTTTGTTTTTTCTTTTAAGTTCTTGTACGCAATTTTGAATCTATTTTCGATATATTTCTGTAAATAGTAAGCAAACGGCTCATAAAGTCATCCTTCAGCCGTATATCTTTGAACGTGCTGATGTTTCACTCCAATCCGATGGCACTTAAATTTCTTCATCGCCATCAGTGTTGGAACAAACTGGAGGTTGCAGAATCAAGTAACACCCTTTACGAGTGAAAACAACAAACATTGTCAGCTGTTATAACTACCATAAATGGTGTTCTATGGACGACTTACCGATGCACGTAAATTGCCGTAGGCGATTTTCGTTAAACGGTATGGGTTTAGTTGGTTTAGTATCAGTGGCTAGTAAAATCCTCTCGAAGTGAGAACAACATACGAAGTTAAATTTTGAACCGATTTTGCTCTCCGCTAGTTGGAACTATAACGGGCATGGTTTCTAACACGTCATGCAAGTTCATTCCCCGGCACTTAACCCATGTATCTTGCGAATAAAGACAGCGTACCATGTTGATAACTTTGTCTCGAAAGTTCTGAATCGTGATTGCTGGCCGCTAGTTGGAACTACGATGGTCGTGGTGTTTGACACGTCATGCTAGTTCGTTCACCGGAAGCAGAGGAGCATTTCTGCGGCTCCGCGACTCTCTCGGACCATTACTGATCATTAGTGTCAGTAGTCATCTACATTATAATGGTGTACTTTTTTTTTTTTTTTTTTTTTCAGGATTTATTACAGTGCTGGCCACTTTTGCCGCCACGGCCACGGCACTGTACGGCCCTCACACTGAAGTCGTAGACCTTTCCTCCGCCAACTTTAGAAACAGGGTTGTGGACAGCGACGAAGTGTGGATCGTCGAGTTCTTTGCTCCCTGGTAAGACGACTCCGTTGTGACATGCAGGGTTTGACACCCTTGGTTTGTGTGACCAGTTCTAATACATGACTTGCATGTGATGTCATCACACCGCACTAAAAGTCGTTCCGGCTTGTTTTTGCCGAGAAAAACAAATCGGTGGTGCGATGTATGCAGAGCAGAAGGTATGTGCACAGCAGCAAGGTCCTTTACAGCAGTCGCTGATGTGGCATCAGTGCAAGCCATGTATTCTCTGCATACAAATATGAGGTTTGACGAAGTGCCCAAAAGCAGCTGGAAAGGAGAAACCCGAACCATTTGTATTCAAATGTGCCTTTTGTGCCCATAGTGTCGTCTCGTTATCCGAAACCATAACAAAGGTGATTGTTCCCTCTTCCACTCACTTGTGAAAAGAGAGAAAGGGAAAGGATTTATGGCCTGCTGAATATTTTGTGGGATCTGCATCTAAGGCACATAAGTTTCTCTAGTGTCTGTGTGGCTTTGTTCTCTCAATATGTGGTGTCTGGAAAACAAGTGTTGACATTACTGATATCATTTATTCGCAGGTGTGGACACTGTCAGTCATTTGCTCCAGAATACATCAAAGCAGCTGCTGCACTAAAGGTATGACATTGCTTGAGCATAGCTGCTGTGTTCGGGGACATCTGCCCCTCCCTTCGCTAATGCCACAGGGAAGCAAACGACCTCACTTCTTTTAAAGTATTGCAGGATGAATGAACTCTGTCGCTGAAATGTAATGCCTTAAAGGGCAACTCTGTTTAATTCCGGGATGATGAACAATTTTACGTTAAAAAACACTTACAAAAGGCACTGCGTCATTAGCTTCACAGGAAAGGGTATATATTTTGTGGTATCTTTAAACAGGAACCGAAACTTAAGCTCAGACGGCCAGCATTTGTCTCGGGCTGCCAAAAACATGGCTGCTACGTGGTACGGGCGGTCGCGTGATTCTCTTTGTGACGATGGGCAGGATTGGGGCAGGCCACCATTGGGGCGGGCATGTGCAAGGCGCAAGTTTCGTCTGTACCACAATCTGCACCACATTCTGGTGTCTGTGACATTAGACGGCGTCTGCAGAACTTGGACATCAGTCTGCACATGTAGTGTGAACGAAACTTTGGGACACAATAATTGCAAATGGCAAGACTGCAACGGCGGTTGTGACGTGGGAGATGGCGGTAATGGCAGGACGGCCGGACGAAAGCTGAAAAGCGTACTGCGTAGGCGTGTTAGGCCAGTCATCTGAACGCTGCTGAGCGCTGGGAGGAGACTCTGCTGGCGTCGCCTGTTACGCTCGCCCGGAGAAGTAAGAACAAACCAAAAGTAGCAATGTTGACGACGTTTAGCTCAATGTTGGCTATGCCAACATTGTAGCCTTGACTGCACCGTTGATTGTGCCTCCATTTGCCCTCTATGGTAGGCCGATTTTGGCAACTTGGCACGTTCTAAAGTTCAGACCGTTTAAGAAACATTTAGATAGACGTAAGTCATAATATTTGATGTCTGGACTTGGACGAGACTGAAGAGGACTGCATTGTTTTTCAAAAACAAAAATGAAGTGGAGTTGCTCTTTGAGAAACATGGCTTTAGGCAACATGCCTCTCCAACTGCTGCTTTGGTTTTGTCACTCACGCAGTCTCGTGGGCTCGTACAGGTCGTGAGAACCTTTTCTGAAGATTGCAGACGGAGTGATGAGACTCCTAATCCATTCTAGGAAGGGTTGCGCCGACAGTAGCGCCTGCCTCGGGGTTCTCCAAGGCATGGCTGCTCAGTCTGCGACCTGCGTGATTGAGTTGTGGCTCTGACAGTCTGTGAGCTTTGTTCATTGAAACAAGTGGGGAGGAGGAGTTACGACTAATGGCCGTGTTCTAATGACCATGTCAAGGTGGCCGACGGTTAGTATGGCAGAATGGCGGAAGATGGACAAGTAGTTTGCTGGTACCTTTTTTTACAGGCAATGATCTAGAGCAGGGGTTCTCAAACTTTTTGGGCTCACGGAACCCCAGGAAGCTTCAAACACTGCCGTGGAACGCCCCCCCTCCATATTTGCCGACTGAGAAGCATCAGATGCACAATTGTAGGCAATTTTGCTTGTGTTGCTTCCCATATATCCCCCCATATCAATCGCAATGTCAGTACAAAGTGAGATGAAGGTGCTTTGCATGGTCCTGCCGGGCAGCCTGTGGCATGGGGGGGGGTTGCAATTTGGGTGTTCGCGGAACCCATGAGACCAGCTCGTGGAACTTCTGTGTTCCCCGGAACCCAGTTTGAGAACCCCTGATCTAGAGGAAACCTTGAACCCATGCATCTTTCTTCCTTTATAACAAGGTGTCGAGGGGGAAAAAAAGCAACTTGTTGTTGCTCTAGCTTTCATATTTTCTCTGGTGGGGTGGGATGTGGGCCTGGTGAGCATATGGATTTAGAAAGTGCCCTTGTTGCGCAGTGGCTCGTGCAAGAGACATACCTTTTGAAATTGCACCTTAAAACTCGTTATCTAGTCGGCACTGCACGCTATTTGTGAGGTGGACAAGGTATGTGGGCACTTGTTCTTTTTTTTAGTTAATCTTTCACTTGTCTATACTTTGTTGCAAGGTAAGAAACGTGGGAGAAGACCCTACTTGGGTGGAACAGCGCGGATGAACAGTCACACTCACAAACACACAGGAAGGAAACAGACTTGCAGTGCTGTGAGTCTGTTTCCTTCTTGTGTGCCTGTGAGTGTGACTGTTCATCTGTGCTGTTCCAATCAAGCATGAATTAACAACTAGCCCAAGCATCCACATTAACAAAACACACAGCTCTCTGCTTGCTTTGGTTGGTTTTTTCCCCTCCAGTGTTCGCTCTGCTAAAGTGGGAAAGGCAGCTTTTGGGGAGAGCTAATCCTGCGTTTCCTGTGCTGTAACAGACTGTAGTTGCATACCAGCCGAGTAATTCCCTGCCAACAAGGAACTATATTTAGCACGGCTAAAACGGTTTCTTTTCCTGCACACTATCTGCAGGGAGTCGTGAAGGTTGGTGCCGTGGACGCAGACAAGGACAAGTCCTTGGCAGGACAGTACGGCGTTCGAGGCTTCCCGACGGTCAAGATCTTCGGTGTCAACAAGAACAGTCCGACGGACTTCAACGGTGCGCGCACTGCCGAAGGCGTGGCCAGTGCCGGGCTCCAGGAGCTCAAGAAGGTCGTCGACCAGCGTCTTGGCAAGAAAACTAGCAGCGGAGGCAGCAAGGGCAAGGTATGCATGGGCGTCGCTGTGCAGATATTATAATTCTGAACGGTGTAATGTCGCCAGGGGTCGAAAAAAAAAAAAGGCTGTAGCTTCGATGGAGTGTTCATCTTTTCGTCAAGTTAAATGCCATCTCCAATTTTGGTGACCTGAGGTGCATAGTCTCCCTCACAGTTGGCTGCACCAGTTCCTCGTGTCCGGGCACATTTCGGGGGCTTTTTCCTTACAACATCGGGTTGTCTCTCTTGAAAAAGTAAACTTAATTTCACGGTAAAGCATCCGATTAGAGGACATAATAGGGCACGCTTATTTTATCGTGTGGTTCAGCAAGTCGCTGCTTCTCCCAGCTGACTGTTAAAGTCGGAAAACGTGTTAGGTAATAGTTATGCAACTCTAAACCTCGACATATTAGCGACATGTGCGACCAAAAGCGTCGAAATGGTCGGCTTTCCACGATTGGCCAACCACTCGTCACGACGTCTTCGGAGAGATTAATTCGTGTTTCATCGACAGAAATTGTAATGTCAGTCTGTCAACATTGACGGTGTTGTTGTAAGAATGCTATGGCTCCCAACTTCTGCTGTACTCTTCGGACACACCATCAAACTCGCCAATCGCAACTGATAGGTAGCCGGGATGAAAACTCTCGACATCATGGCAAGGCAAATCCGGGTGGCGACGCGACGAGGGCCCGACCTACCTTTGGCTAGGTTGTGCAAGGTGTATCCATCCATCCAACACCAATACAGTGTAGACCGCATATAACGTATGTCACGGGGATCGCGAAAATCCGCACTATAAGCGGCACTGCGTTGTAACCAAAACATCAATTTTTCACGTCAACTACATGTCATGAGACAACTTACCTTTGTAAAATATTTATTTTGTGTTCGTAGATGAAATATAAAGCTCAGTCTGAGGAAAGCTCTTATTTCACTAAACTAGTACACTTATCTCCCAAGTGTGTCACGCATTATAAAAGAAATGGCGATTTTTGCCTGGTGCTGCTTTTTAATGACGTTGCGGATGACCTGGTCTTCGGTAACGCTAAAACATTTTAAAACCTCATCACCGAAGGAGTTCTGCGCACAGTGAACCTTCAGTTTCTGTAAAAGTTCCAGTGCGTCTTTACTTGAAACTTCCGGCATGCTCAGTTTGTCATCGTCTGACTCACCTTTGGGTGGACTCGTCCCAGAACCTTGCACTGCTGCAACAATAGCTTCATCGGTGGTTGCATCCTCAAAGATAACAGCCATCGTCATCCTCATCTAGATAGTCTTGAAACGTGTCATATGCAGGAACAAAGTGGTTTTCCACAAGGTCCGACCACACATCTTCCGTGCCGATCGCCTCGTCAGTCGCATCACTGCGTCTATCGGCGTCCTCCGAATGCCCGGCATCGCACACACACCCTGTGTTGCGAAAACACTTTTGGATGGTTGTGGCTTTTTTACTTTCCACCACGACACAGTGATCATGTCGATGGCATTCCTCAAGTCCACCTTGATGGGTTTCTCCCGTTGCAATTTCAAGACGACTCTTTCGCATATCTGCTTCTTGTAGAGCTCTTTGACTGTAGCGATGACGCCCTGATCGAGAGGCCGGCTTTTAGCTGTGGTGTTTGCCGGCAGGAACTTCAGACTGCCTGGGCCTAATTGTGGCTGCACATTGTGAATGTTGCACCTGTCCGGGATAAGCATGATGCGCCGTTTTTCCGCAACCATGGCCTCGTAGAAACTTTTCATCCAACTACCGAAAAACACTTGGGTCATCCAGGCCTTTTCATTTGCTTTGTACACCACAGGCAGACATTCTGACTTCTTGAAGCAACTGGGTAGTTTTGATTTCCCCAATAAGAAACAAGTGCCGCTTGTCGAATGTTTGCACAAAACAAAACTGTGACACGTCCCTTTGAGCTTTGACTCCGAAACGAGGTTCACCTCTCGTCGCGAGATTGTGATCGGGAAGCACGTTGTAGCACAGACCAGCTTCATCGGCATTATAGATGTCTTTGTCTGTGTACACGGAAAGCATCGTCTCATAATGAATGCAAAACCCCGCCTGAATGCTGGCGTCGTCGACACCTTCATGTTCGAACAAATGTCTGAGGACCTAGCCTTCGCTTGTAGCATCGGGCCACTCACTGGTACATTCTTGGCTCGCACCTCGCGAAACCACCTAAACAAGGCTTCGTCGACGTCCTCGCACTTTGGGGCACGAACCCTCTTTCTTGGGAGCGATGCAGAATCTTGCTGTAGCTGTCTCTCGTTTCTTCCAAACGGTGGAAACCGATTTGGCAGTGACGTTGTTTGTACTTGGCCACGATGGAAGCTTTTTTCATGCCACTTTCGACATCTTTGACAACGCCCTGTTTAGTTTCGAGAGACGGGGCTTGTCGTTTCTTGGCCATCTTGTGCTTGGGAGACAAGGACAGATCGGCGATGGACAGCCGATTTCCAAACGATATGCTTGATGCGGTCCAAGCATCAGACGTGAGAACAAGCCAGCAAGCTGCAAGAAGGGAAACTAGAAGCTGTACAGCTATCCAGCCTTCGTTTTGCGCGTGGTGCAAGCAAGGAGGTTGGTTTTGAGTTGCTCTACCGAGAGGGTAAAATCAAAAGGCTTGGATGGCTCATTAAAGCTTTCGGAGTTGAGCGCGCGCGTGCATGTGTTGCACCTTGCTGCGTTACACCTCGCTGCGTTGTCATTAGTTTCTTGCCTCTCTTTGCTTCTCCTCACTTCCACGCAACTTCCCTGCCATCCTTGCCTTGTGAGTGCAGCTTGCGCCATTATCTGGTGTCGCACAGAGAAGCGTGCTTAGTTTGCCAATCGGTTGGCGGGCTGTTCTAGAAACCACACTATAACCAGTATTTCCTTTTGCGCACCTGCATTTTAAGCGGTATGTAATTACATGGAGTTGTATGGGAGGTGGAACGGTGGTTGAAAAAAGCCGCATTATATCCTCTCCCGCACTATAAGTGGTTACGTTATAAGTGGTCTCTACACAAACTCAACTCTCCTACGTCACGCCGCGGTGGTGGCGCGTCGGTCGCACTTCCGGTCTGGGGTGGTGGGCAGAAGTCGCCGTGCCAGACATGCATTCTTGTGTTCTTTTCGGAAAAACCAGACAAAAAACCTGCATTCTCGTCAAAATACTGCTACGGAGGCTGTACAAAAAGAGTCTGGAAAGGTTTGAAGATCAGTTTTCATGTGTTTCTGCCCGCTCCGTTCGTCCGAGTACTTGGATAGTAGCCGTGAAAAGAGTAAACCAGACGCTTTCGAACTAAGATTGCTTGTGCGAGCAACACTTTCTGGTCGCCAGATGTATTTGTTTTGTTCCAACATGAACGAGAGAAAACCGCCAGGTTGTCCGGGCCACCTGCGGGTTCAGTGCGTCTTCAAATTCACACGGCCGCATGATCGTTTGAACTTTCGTCTGCTCTTCCGAGCCTGCTTTTTGTCGTCTGCTCGTTCAAACAAAAGCGCCACGTAGACCAAACTTTGACCCAGTGATTGCAATAAGAAGTAATTGCAGGCCTCAAGAGACTTTTGTAGGCTCGGTGTAAAGAGTAGATACAAGATGTCGATCATTGGTACCAGTGGCCATCACCGACTTGTTACGCTTGGTCTGTTCCTGTTTCCGAATTTCGGTATCGACGTCGATCATTGCCGCCTTCTACACTTTTGCGGCACGAGCGACGTCGCGACCGAAAATATCTAGAAGAATCTCATCATGGTTTTGGTGTCCCTTCTGCGGCGTTCACGCGAATGAATCGCCGCACGTCAAATTATTTACGCAGAGTTTAGCGGTTTAACAAGCCTTGATAATTTCGCTCGGGCGATTAAAGTGGTAAGACATTGCTATGAGGACGTAGAATAGACAATTCCAACGCGAAAAGCAGTATGCAGACTCGCACAGACGCCGACAACGTGACATTCCAATGGTTTGTTCAAGCGTTCGAACTGTCGTCTGCTCTTTCAAACTTGTCTGATTTTCGTCGTCAGCTCGTTCAAACGACAGCGGCCCGTAAACCACACGTTGACCCGGTAATTGCGATAAGAACTAAGTGCAGGCCTAAAAACACTCTTGAAGGTTGGGTGGGGTAAGTAGGCTAAGTGTAAACAGTAGATACAAGAAGATGTTGATCACGGTTACCAGTGGCCATCACCGATTTCTAATGCCCGATTCTACTTTCAGTTTTCAGTATCGACGTCTGTCATCTCAGGTACGGTCCACGCTTTTGCAGCCCGAGCGACGTTGCGACTGAAAATAGCGAGCGGAATCTCATCGTGCGAGTCAGGCTTTAGCGCCCATTCTGCGGCGTCAAAGTGAAATGAATCGCCGCACTTCACATTATTCACGCAAAGTTTTGCCTCGTTAATTTTGCTGAAGCCGCTCTAGTAGTCAGACATTGTTAGGGGGATGTAGAATCAACAATTCCAACGCAAAAAAGAGCAGGGGGGCTCCCACCGACGCCGAAAACAACGCAGTTCTATGGTTTGTTTATGGGCGACGGCGGGCTTCTTGCCCACCGTCCACCGCGCATGCGCGGCGCCTGTGGCGTCCGCTAGGGGCGCTCCGGTTTGTTTATAAACATGAGTTGGTGTATACACGTTTGCAAGTCCGGTCTCAGGGTGCTGCTATCTTGCTCAGTGGGGTGTGCTCTTGGGCGCGGCCATAATCCGATTATGACCTATTATCACATGTCCTATAATCGCGTGTCTACTTCGGAAATGCTTAAAAAGCCATAAGCGAACATACTGCTCTGGTGTTGACAACTGAAGAACATGCGCTCGCACGGGCGAAGGTCGATCGGTAGACAGCAGTATTTGGGTTTTGATTTTTATGCTACTGCTTCGGTTGTTCGTTACGACAGCCTTTGCGCCACTTTCGCGAGCAGTAGCACTTCACAAGAGGAAAATGAATGACGGCATCAGATGGACGCACTGTTGTTACAAGCGGTTAGTACGCCGGTGAAGAGTGCCCAGGTTCTTGCTCAAGCCATCAGAGTTGCATTCGAGATGTGTAAAGTACGTACTTGGAATCCGTTTTTATTATTCCATGGAAAAGATTCTTTGACTTATTGAATGAGCTAAGACAGTAAACCCGTGCTGTGTATTCTGTAATCCCAACCAAAATGCCCTTGTGCACCCGGACGGCTCTCAGTAGTTGTGGAGAACAATAGACGCAGTGGTGGCATTATCAGCGGGCAGACTGCTCTGCACTCGCGCGCCATGTCGTATGTCTTTGGGGACTGCTGCTCGGCGCTTGTTTGTAGAGATTATATGTTTGGAGCTCCGAATATGCGAGTGCAATGTTGATTGCCAAGAAGCTTATAGTCCGGCCAACATTTGGCAGAAAGCTGAGCATACTTTCTGGGAAATTGTGTTATCTGGGAACGTACAAACTGGAAAATTTAATGAACCAGGAGCGTATCAGCGAGTTACTACTTTACTGCAGCGATATCACGACTCTGTTGCAGAGCGACGTCGTCGAACTGGATGAGAGCAACTTTGAGGAGCTTGTGCTGGACAGCGAGGACCTCTGGCTGGTGGAGTTCTTTGCACCCTGGTGCGGCCACTGCAAGAACCTCGCCCCGCATTGGGAGAAAGCGGCCACCGAGCTCAAGGGCAAGGTTAAGCTGGGCGCCGTCGACGCCACCGTCCATCAGGGGCTCGCCTCCAAGTACGGCATCAAGGGCTTCCCCACCATCAAGTTCTTCCCGGGCGGAAAGAAAGACTCGTCCTCGGCTGAAGAGTACAATGGCGGCCGCACGGCCGACGACATTGTCCACTGGGCGCTCGAGAAGGCCGCGGACGCCGCCCCGCCACCTGAACTCCACCAGGTGACAAACGCCAAGGTGCTCCAGGATGCGTGCGAGAACAATCAGCTGTGCGTGGTGAGCGTGCTGCCGCACATCTACGACTGTCAGTCGGAGTGCCGCAACGGCTACCTGGACGTGCTGCGGCGGCTAGGGGACAAGTTCCGACGGAACCGCTGGGGCTGGGTCTGGGCCGAGGCCTTGGCACAGCCCAAGCTGGAGGAGGCCCTGGAGATCGGCGGGTTCGGCTACCCGGCGCTGGCGGTGCTGAACAGCCGGAAGATGAAGTACTCGCTGCTGAGGGGCTCGTACAGCTACGAGGGCATCAACGAGTTCCTGCGGGAGCTCTCGTTCGGGAGGGGCTCGAGTGTGTCTGTGAAGGGGGCCAAGCTTCCAGACGTGGTGGATACGGAGGCGTGGGACGGCAAGGATGCCAAGGTGAGAAGCTCTTGTCCATGACAAGCGGCGGTCCAACTTATTTGCCTAGGGTGCAATTTCCCAAATTGGGATTTTAGGAGCTGTGGGGTTCCCTGGAGCACCCTTGTTGGTTCCCCAGAACTGGGTTCCCCCAGAACAGCCTCATTGGTTCACCTAGCTCTCGAATTTCCTTGACCGCCCCCTAAGTAAACTGTCGAACGAAAAGACAAAGGACAAGACAGCACTGTGTGTTGTTTTGTCCTTCGTCTTTTCCCCAGTCTCGGGGGTTTGTCTTAAATTATGTAAATTGTTATTTCACTTTAAGGTCTATTTCATCTGAGCTGCTTATTGGCACCTAGCTAAAAGCCGTACACTCCCCAGCATGTGCATTATTGTTTACAAGGTCTACAGTCTCTTGTACTCTTTTATTGCACAGATGTTGGAACTGGGAGGGGTTGTTCTGCTGCCGTTTAGTGCTGATAAGGGTTCCTTGAGATCAAAGAGCTTGAGAACCCCTGATCTAGTTTAAACCTTGCTGCTGAGCTAGCCGCTGGAAGAAGAAAAATGGTGAGAGAGTTTTGACTCGGAGTCATGCATTGGAGCTTTGCTTGGTTGCGCTCGGACTACAAAAGTGCTCTGCCGAAAATGGACAGAATCATTCGAGGAAAGTTAGAGACTCGAAGAATCCCTGGGGGCAGTCCGAAAACGTTTAAAAGCTTGCGGACAGAGTGATGAGACCCTTAATCCATTCTAGGAAGGGTTGCGCCGACGGTAGTGCCTGCCTCGGGTTCTCCGAGGCCACGGCTGCTCCGTCTGCGACCCGCGTGATTGAGTTCTGGCTCTGACTGTCTGCACGCTTTGTCTGTTCGAACAAGCATGGAAGAGTAGCTAAGACTTGTGGCCACGTTTTAATTACCACGGCGAGCTGGTCAATGAGTAGTAGGCAGATGGTGAATACGACGTGTGGCTAAACTCTGAAATTGAATAATTTAATCCTTTTTCTAGGCCGTTATCTGGAGGTAAATTTGAACATACTCATCAGGCACGTAGCAAGGGGAAAGGCCCATAAGGCCCGCCCCCCCCCCCCCCCCCCCTCCCCCCGAAATCTTCCATTTTACTGGGTCCTCCTCTCCCCCCTCCCCCTCATACAGACGGTAACAAAGCGTTCTGCCCACTTTGCTTGCAGTAGGAAGCTCGTGCCCCTAACCTGAGCTTCCTGCCTTCGATAGTGCTTCGGCACCTCCTGAGTTTAGAGCTTGCACGTGCAGCTAAAGCACAACAGAAAGTAACGTGCACTCGCCGAGGGCCGGGCCTTGTCTGTCTTGTCAGCTACGCTATGCTACAATAGCTACGGTCCTGTCTGTGACCGTAGCTGTTGTGGTAATTTTTAAGTATCGCTTTCCTGCTTCAGGATGAAAGCAACTCTTCTGTGCCATTATTGGCGCTAGTGAAACCGGTTTATGGCAGCTGCTGGAGTTGACATGTTTGGCGGTCTCTTTCTCGTCAGATGGAGGAACCGGAAGACATCGACCTGAGCGACGTGGAGCTGGAGCCGGAGGAGACCGACAAGAAGCGGGTGGAGCTCTAGCTCCGGCGACGTCTGTCCGACCTGCCCATTGTTCTTCCCAACTTTGTACATACCATTTGCGAAGGTGTAAATTATTCCCGTTTCCTTCTGGACTCTCTCTCTCTCTCTATTGTGCTTGTAACTCTGCCACTGTTGTTGGCAATAAAACGTGGGCATTCTTTTTCACTTTTTGTGCGTCCCACTTGCATTTCGTCGGTAACTCAAGGAAGACGAGTGGCTTCGTTATGGGTGCAGGAGGAAGCCGTCAGTCTTTCTGATGAGCGTCGGTGCTCAGCCCCCCCCCCTTCCAGATATTTCAGACTGCTAAATAAAACAATACGGGGAAGAGGGCGTGGTCGAGCTTATTCTAATCTGATATTATTTATACATATGTATAGCTGCTCTTCAATGCATAAAAATCGCATAGATGGTCATTGTCAGAAACTTGTTAGAAGGCACTACTTGTGCCTTCTAACAACTGACAAAAAAAGTTTTTTTTTTTTTTTAATGTCGTGCTTTACTTGAACATTATTAGAAATCTTCCTCCATAAGTTAATTTATTCCTCAACGTGAAAAAAAACAAAAAAACATTATTTTGTATTCTACAGATGGCAATAATATGTACTGTCTATTTTAGACGAAAAAAAAAATTGCCAAGTTGAGGGCATAATTGCCCATAGGTACATGTTTGGACATTTCTTCGAAACTTGTCTTGAATGACAATTCGCAACTTTCACGACATATAGGGGGCGCACTGGTACCTATCAAAATGGCTGTCATCTGGATGATCGTCGTAGAACAGCAGTACGAGGTTGGGTAGGCGACGCGTAAGTAATTCTAGTTTTGCTATATATGAGCAGTATTAGAGCCTTACTTAATTTTTTCACGTCAGTAAAGTGTAGGCAAGCACCTTTATTCTGAAGCCTATCATCCAGGAGCTAGGGAGTACAACTCTCACACCGCGGTACCACCATCGCTGAAAGTTGCGAATAATCATATCTTAAGACGACACTTACCTAGGCTATGCAGAGATCATTCTTAAAAAGTTTACCATCTCTACCATAAATAGCTTTGGCTATAGCGTGCTTCAAATATGGCACAAACGATAATCGTCAGAAACCCGTCGTCCTTCCTCGCTCCTTCGGGAATTTACTTTTTTAAAACTAAGCATGCCAGAACATTGAAATAAACAGCATTGTCTTTCGCAAGGAACGTGGCACCGCATGTAAAAATTCGAGAAAAAAATTACGAATTTACCTCACTGCTTGAATTCAAATGAAACCGTCCGCCGGTCTTCCAAAGTTCGACGCACTTCAAACTTTTTTAGCTTAAAAGGTGGAAGTTCGTCAAACTTTGGACTTTCAGATATCGCGAAACTTTTTGATTTCTCTAGATAAATAAGGTCAAAATTATTGAATTCCTTAGCGTAGGAAGGTCGGAAGTTAGAAAAACTTAGAACTTTTTTTCAGTGCAAGAAAATCGAAAGTTTGAAAATCATCGAATTTCTTGGTCTATCAAGTTCGAAAGTTCGACAAGCATAGAATTTTTTAGCGTAATAAGTTCGAAAGACCGAAAAGGATTGAACTTTTTTGCGTAATAAGTCGAAGGTTCGAAAAACATCCCATTTCTGAACGTGCAAAGTTTGAAATCTCGGAAAATTCTCGAACTTATTAGTTTAACAAAGTCGAAAATTCGACTCCTGTCGAATTTTACGTTTAGAAAGTTTGAAAATTCTAAATCTTTCTAACCTTTCGAACCGCTTGATTCAATCATCGAAACTTCGGTTCAAAAAAAGTTCGCGGCATCCCTAGTCGTAATACCAAATTAAGAGATACTGACCAAAGTTGCCCTTTAAGACGTCCCAATTTTTTTTCTCTCAATGTACTTAATATATAGCTTGATATTGCTCACGACTCCAATTATGAACAGCATTCTCCATTCTGTGACCACATCTTTCAAATGGGCACAGTAAAGCTCAACTTTCGCAGAGAATTACTGAGGCCTTTGAAAGGATTGCTTAAAAACTGCTCAACACTTTTTTTAGCTAATTTCCAATGCCGCAGGCCACACAGATTATAACATGCAAGCAAAAAAAAAAAATATATATATATATACAGGGTGTCACAAAAAAAAATGTACACGGTCTTTTTTACCGCAAAAATAAACTAGGCATCGCCGAACGCTCATTCTCTGCCCAAAGGTGGAGCTAGAGGTCACAACCAGATGCCAAAGTTTCAGCCCGATCCGATAACTTAATCAAAAGTTATAAGTGATTTTCTGAAAATTTCAATGGGAAACTGGCGACCGACAAAGTTTTCAAACACATGGGGCTCTATGGCACCAGAAACCGAAAACAGGCAAAAAGGGGCTCCATTTTCCCATTGAACTTTTCAGAAAATCACTTATAACTTTTGATTAAGTTATCGGATCGGGCTGAAACTTTGGCATCTGGTTGTGATCTCTAGCTCTACCTTTGGGCAGAGAATGAGCGTTCGTCGATGCCTAGTTTATTTTTGCGGTAAAAAAGACCGTGTAAATTTTCTTTTGTGACACCCTGTATATATATTTTTTTGAGGGTTTAGTTGATTTCTTTATGAAGTTAGACGTTGTACGAGAGACACAAACCGTGTCAATATGCTTTGAAGTAAGGCTTTTAATTGTGCAGCGGTTGCACAACAAGGTTAGCTGCACCTTACTTGGTGGACGTCCCTCATTCACCGCTATAATAGCTGGTGTAAATTTGTGCGCATTGTGCAAATTTTGACACTAAACCTCTAATGTTTGTTCTTCCGAAAAACAAAAGAAAAGATTTTTGAAGGCAGAAGTATGCAGTAGAAACATAGTAGGATGTAAGTAGAAACATAGTAGGAAGTACCCAGTAGAAACATAGTAGGCAGCACTAAAACACAGACAAAGTTAAGACCCACGAGCTGCTGTAAGTTGTAGCTCACCTTTTGCCTTTTATTTTGTTTCAGCGTGCTACTGGAACCTAACCAATACCAGCTGGTAGTTCTGAAATGGCTTCATTTGCATTCATCTGGTGGTACCAACTGATAATCTGTTTTACCTTGAGTACATTATGCCCGTCCTTGCCTCAAAAACCGCAGTAAAAAAAAAAAAAAAAAATGTTTGGGTCCTTGCAAGGCGTTATTAAGTTACCCCTTTATGTGGTCAATGAAGACACTAGTGTGTGTGCTTTTAGAATTCGCTTCTTTTATTTTAACAAAACACGTTTCGAAGGCTCTTAATTTTTTTTTTCTTTCTGACAGCTCAATTTGTAAGAAGTATTACTATGTACAGTGTGAACTGTGCTCAAAACTTGCTTTTATTTTTTTTAATGTTTCCTTGATGTGACGAGTATAGTGGAACCGAGGATACAGATTTGCACTTGCGGCTCTGGCGGGTCCTTCGTAGCGCACATTTGCATCTTTCTGAGGACTGCTAAAGAAGTAATTGCTGCACACAACCCATCTTTATCAGTTGAAAGGTAAAACCCTCGAGACTTCAATCGAGCCATTTCAGTGTTGTCTATACCGTTTTAGGGGCGAAGCTCCTCAGGGTCTAGCCTTGTCCGGCGTCCGTGCTCACATCGATTGCCATCCCATCTGTCTTCTTAAAAAAAGAAGACATGTTTGCGCAGTTGACAGGATTCGAACCTGTGCGGGGATACCCAAATGGATTTCTAGTCCATCTCCTTAACCACTCGGCAACGACTGCGGGACGAGTAGGGGGCTCTGAAATGTGGGAGTAACTCTAGAGCTGGAGTTTCTGTCACGGATGAAACGTTGCATGTAGCTGCTCAACGCCTACACAGGAGAGGGCGCTGCGGTCAAATGCTCAAATGCGTAAGCACCACCAGCACTACCTATGAACAAAATCAGTACCATCAGCACCACCAGAGCTTCGCCCCAATCAACATAATTCACCACGTGGAGATGTGGTCATTTTTTTTTTTGTTGTTTTCAGCACCAAACCGTCATCAAAATCAGCTCATCTCTACTCTCACTCCGGTCTTAAAGCAATTAAAGCAAAGGGTGTTCTCCCACACTATTTGGGAATAAAAAAATGTGTATAAATAAGCGAGTAAACAGGGTGCCACGGAACTTTTGACGAAGGAGTTTCTAGGTGGTGCATTGGACATACTCAAATTTCGGAAATAAAAATTTCGGAAAAAAAGAAATTTATGTGTATTTGTGTGTGTGCGTCCGCGCATTGAGGAAAACAGAAGCAAACTGCCTGATTGACGCTGCTACTCGCATATTATACCAAACGCGCTCAGACCCACTGCATCTGCTAGGGTGTTTATATCTAAGAAGCTTTCAAGTTTTTGTACAATGAGGTGAGCTGCCATATGCGAGTAGCAGCGCCATTCTGACGGCTTGCTTCTGTTTTTCTACCGCTCATAAGAAAAAAAAAACAAAAAAAAAACAAGTTTTTATTTTCTTGCATTTTTTTTTCCCGAAGAACCTACACTCAGGAAATTTGAGTATGAGTATCATTAATGCACCAGCTCAAAACATCTCCGAGAAAAGTTCCATGGCACTCTGTTCACTTGCTTATCTATCCATATCTTTTACGACTGAATTGTGCACGAGAACATCTTGTAAGTCCACGAGATCTTAATAAATGCTCCGTTGTCCTCCACAAGAAGGCAATCCTACTTGTGGGGGGGGGGGGGGGGGGGGGGGGGGGTAGGGGGGGGGGGGGGGTTTCAAATAGCTCGAATGTGGCATCGCTTTCAGTTTGTGCAACGGTGCTGAAGTCCTCTGGCCTATATCTGTGACAAATATCCTATGGTTTCGTTGTAAGTACTATGGACTTTTAGTTTACTGTTAATTTTCCAAGATGTGGCCGTGAATTTAGAACCCTTCAGATGAGATCCAATATGGCAATCTATGCTTTCTGCATAGGGGCTTGAACAAGGGCGAGCAAACTCCGTGCTCTTGTAACAGAGCTATCTACACTAATGGCATGTCATGTTTTATGTGATGCAGCATGATTGGTAAGTCGCTAAGCTATTGTCAGCGTGTGCAAGCACAAAAATAAATGTCTATCTATAGGGTCAGCAGCAAAGAACCCTCCGAGGTCACCAAAATACCACATTTTTATAGTCATCCTAGCTAAGTTCAAGAGCTGTCTTTCATAAAAACTAACTTTTTTCCTCTTACAAATTTTTAATGACACTTTTCAAGTTTAATATTTTTTCTAGAGAAACAAGACTTGCCTTTATTTGGATGTTTTACTCTTTTAAGCACTGCTGATAATTTTTGTTACTCTTTGAAATCATGTTCTTTGCCAAAGAGATTGAGGTTTGAACAACATTATATTACTGCCCTTGTCCGGTCAGGAGGATCGCCGTGCATAGGCAATTCAGCTTTTCTTTGTTTTACAGACACATGTATGTCTCTTGGCAGTGAACCAAAGTTCACACTTCACCCTTAATGGAGACATTGGGAACATCATCATAGAAGATGAAAGAGACTTCCAAAGCCTAAGGAGGACTACACGTGGTGAGCCACAAACTTCTCAAGCCTAGGGACTACATGGATTGTTGCCCACAGGACAACAACAGATCACAAAAGCTGGAATGCCGATTGACTGCAAACCACAGGGAGTACGGACAACAGAACATCAAGCGACGGAGGGCCAGGTATACCATAGATAGGTGCCACAACTCAGAAGAGAAGTGAGACAAGGTAGATCAACAGGGCTGCAGCTCCAAACGCCCAGAGGAAGGTGGGAATTCCCTTTCTGAGCTTGCTGTTCTTGCAAGAAGAAGAGGGCGGCATCTTTCTAGTGTCCAGGGGACCCTTGAGCCTGCTGCGCATGCTCATCATGGCATCCCTAGCCCCCGACCAAGCGTGCGGTCCCTGCAGCCTGTACTGGTACGGTAAGCACGGCTCCCAGAAGCATTTCCAGAACAGGCTGTTGTCCCTCCAGAACATGCGCCACAGGTCGGGCTTGGCGCCGTACAGGGATGTTATCTCGTCCATGTAGTCGACCCAATCGGCCTGTGTGAGTGCACGCATAGTTAAAATCCGTAGGAAAAGACGAAAAAAAAATTACAGATACCTTTATCTCTAAAGTTCTATATTGCAGGATCTTTGAAAGAGGGAAACCTATTAGGTGCATACGTCACATGACATGAATTTCCCCGCCAAATTTAGCAAAAAAGCTAAGTTGGTGTATAGGTTACGTGGCATCTTCTCGCGCGACATCAATTTTCCCGCTAAATCAGGGAAACTGAGTTGGTGTAGAGGGCTTGTGACGTGAAGTCACGTGACATCATTTGCCCTGCCAAATTTAGCGGGGAAATCGATTTACTGTATAGGGCTCGTGAAGGGTCACGTGAATTTAATTATTCGGCTAAATTAAGCGGGGGAACTGAATTGGTGCTTATGGTCATGGGAAGCCAGATTCCCCCGCTAAATTTAGCGGGAAATGCACGAACGGACGGAACGACAAAATTTTGTGATTGAGGGTTGGGGGGGGGGGGGGGGGGGGGGTTGTTATTATTTTTAAAGCATTTCCTGCTTTAGAAACGAAAATACTTATCCTCAACAAGCCATTGTCTTAGTCACTCATAAAGGAGAGGCCAAGAAGGCCTCGTAATGCTGGGTCTTTATTTCGGTTTGGCTGGACGTTGCAGGAGGCCATATATTTACTATGCTGCACTTTTAATTAGTGCCATTTCTTTTGATCTCATAAAATAAGCCAAGCAATAGCCTTAGCTGCCTTTTCACCTCTAGATACCAAGTATCAACTAATCAACGAACCAGGCACACCCTTTTAGAGGAACATAATGTGCTCACATACACTGGTTTGGTTTAACATCGGATTAAAAAAAGGCATCTCCAACGTCATATTTAGCGGGATGCAACATAGTCTGTTAAATGGCAGGGGTGTCATGGCTTTATGGGTGGCTTTTTGCGGCAGTGGTGCCATCAGATCGCACCTCCTTTGGCTAGCGAACCCCTCAAACAGATTCTGCGTTATTACACTTGCCTGGAACGTGTGCCTGAGACTCTCGACATATCTGCTCTCCAGCTTGGCTCTCCATTTGGCATAGGCAGCCTGCATCTCCTTGGGCGGCGGCAACGAGAGCTTGCCTTTCATGAGGAGCGCATACCAGCGGCTCTGGGCCTCTTGCGCCGGGAAGACCCCTCCCAGCAGCTGGAGAAGGCCGATGAAGCCCAGGGTCGGGTGGGGCAGGTGCGGCGGGAACACATACTTGTACAGGCACACTTTGTTCTTTTCAGTCTTGTGGATGTCTTGGTCCAAGAAAGGAAATGTCGCCTGTAAATTGTCGCAAATGTGAAAAAAAGAGGGGGATCGGAGGTTGAGTTTACCATGGAGTGCCAGCTACTTTTTGTGCAAGAAACCAGAGACAACAGAACACTTTTGTTGGGTTGTGCTGGAACGCACACCGAAGGAAGAGTTTCCATTGTGTCTGCATGGCATTGGGTATTTGGCTTTGATGACGGTATGTCGAATGATCTTGTTATGCTTGTAGGTATGCACGGCGTTTGGAAACATCGCAAGGCTGAAAGTCTTGCCGATACTGATGCTAGACAGATTCGCGAATATTTTAAGTAACCTGTGACAAGTTGTGGAGGTATGGTAGTCTCTGCCCAATGTTCCAGAGTGAATGTTCGTTAAAGGGATACTACAACGAAATTTCGGCGCTCATTTTTTGGTCTATACGTGTTCAAAGGAGCAGTATCACATCGAACATGCCAATATCTTGTTTAAAAAATCTCGAAAAGGAATTTTAAAACAAATTAAACGATTAGCAAAGAGCACCTGGTGGATGTCGCCAACTCCTCGCTTGTAATGCCAGTTTAGGAACCTTGACAGCTAGTGTCGGTGAATGTCTCGCCTCCGGCCGCGACGAGAGAAGAGGAGAAGGAGGAACTCCCCTCTTCCCAAGAATGCCTTTTGTGTGTCGCAGAAGTCGCTACTGTCCCCCTACAAGATTATAGAAGATTAACCCGTCACTCAAAATTCGTACAAAAGCAGCCGCTTCGGTGGCTGGAACGACTAGGCCATCCTCTCGACGTCAGCTTCGCCGTAGCTTGCGTTGGATGTCACATGGTCTCCGCTGGGCCTTCTTTGAGCGCTTGCCAGAGTGGGCCGTTTATAACAAAAAATACAGCCACCAGGCTCAAAATACAAACATGCAATTGTCATTTACGGATATTGTGGATCATATTCAACCTATTTTTGAACACGACGGGAATATTTCAAATTTCGTTGAAGTACCCTTTAAAGGTATACTTCAACGAAATTTGAAATATTCCCGTCGTGTTCAAAAATAGGTTGAATATGATCCACAATATCCGTAAATGACAATCGCGCGTTTGTATTTTGAGCCTGGTGGCTGTATTTTTCGTTATAAACGGCCCACTCTGGCAAGCGCTCGGAGAAGGCCCAGCGGAGACCACGTGACATCCAACGCAATCGTGACGTAGGTCGTCTCAACACGAGCAAAGCTACGGCGAGGCTGACGTCGAGAGGATGGCCTGGTCGTTCCAGCCACCGAAGCGGCTGCTTTTGTACAAATTTTGAGTGACGGCTTAATCTTCTATAATCTTGTAGGGGGACAATAGCGACTTCTGCGACACACAAAAGGCATTCTCGGGAAGAAGGGAGTTCCTCCTGCCCCTCTTCTCTCGTCGTGGCCGGAGGCGAGACAACCTCCGTCACTAGCTGCCAAGGTTCCTAGACGGGCATTACAAGCGAGGCGTTAGCGACATCCACTAGGTGCTCTTTTCTAATCGTTTAATTCGTTTTAAAATTTCTTTTTGTGACTTTTTTAACAAGATATTGGTATGTTCGATTTGATGGTGCTTTTTTGAACACATATAGACCAAAAAATTAGCGCCGAAATTTTGTTGTAGTATCCCTTTAAGGAAGCACTTACAGAGTTGACGCCCTTTTAAACGTGCTCCGTGGGCCATTGATCGGCGGATGTGCTCTATTTCATTATTACTATATTCTTGTATGTTCATTTCAAAAACCGGCAATTAAAAAAAAATGTGGTGGCTTAGCTCGGCTATGCCAGGATATACGTAGCGTGAGCTTATGCGCACAAAATGAGAGGCGCTATCAAACGGCTCGGGTGCAGCGTCAGACTTGGCTACTGCGCAACGGAGGCGCACAGCTGGGCACGCGGCGGCGCCAGTGCGTCTGCCGCGGCTGTGATGTCACTCCTCTGGAATGTGCAGACCGGCAAGGCGCGCGCGGTGGCGGCGGAGCGCGCGGCGGCGTGTCTCCGGCGCGCACGCTGTGCGCCGTGTGACGTCACCACTCCTCGCGCTTGTGCAGCACGGCTCTTTGGGTGCCACGCGAAACTGCTTAACCTCGGCCAATGTAGCTAATGCTACAAAAAAAAAAAATCGTTGGCTGAGTGTGTTAGCGCACCGCAGCACAAGGCACGCAGAGCAAAAGCTTGTGCTGCAGATCCCAGGTATCCTGGCTTCAATCACCTCCTGTGCCCGTTTTGATTGTGGTGAGCGTCGTACCGGTGCGCAATCATGTATCACTAGTGCAATAAATAAAGAAAAGCTTTGCCACACACAAAAACAAAAAAAACAAAAACAACCTATAACTTAGTTTACATAAACTTTCATACAGCACCAAAATAACCTTGCTAATCGTTGAATAATAATAATAATAAAAAAAAAAAACAATCGTCAAGAACACTATAGTCAGTGGCAGGCCAAGAGTTCAGGGGAAACTCGTCCCACGTCTTTCCACTTTAGCTGACCGAACTTTGGAGATCTCCTCTCCAGTCTTTGCAACGCCAAAGTGGAAAGAGGTGGGGGAGCTTCCTCTGAACTCTCAGCCTGTCATCGCCATGGTATTACTTAAACATTTTTACTGCCTCGTAGAGTTGCTTAAGCAGCACTTACCAAGCTACTTTTTTAAATCTTTTTTTACTCATATTTTACTCTGCGTGAGAAAGGTCTCACTCTGGAAGAATGCTTTCCTCTTAGCACGCGGGTGCCCTGTGGCGAAGCAATATGCGCAGAAACGGGACGCCTACTTCACCGGAGTACACCAACGCGCGGTGAGGAGCACACTCAACGAAACTAACTGAGCCGGCAGATCCACATACTGTCAATGTTTCATACAGAGATCAAATTGAATAGTATGTTATTCGATGCAATAATCGAACGCTCTGAATAACAAGCCTTGCAGCGGAGCCTGGGCTATACGAGGGTGACTAAAAATCCTCCGTACTCCGGTTATCTTAAAACTTCGTTTGACTGTTTTGTCTTAAACAGCGATTTTAACGCGAGGTCGATGTCTCTTCACTCGCTGCTGTGCGGGTTTGATTGCGTTACGTCGGCTAGTTGTGATTGCGGTGCGAAAAACAATGCCTCTTATAACGGTGTACGAAATGCGATGTGTACGAAAGAAGAGCAGCGTACCCATGGGCGTACCAACAGGGGGGGGCAAGGGTTTGCCCCCCCCCCCCCCCCCTGAAACAGCCGCCGCTGGGCAGGGCAAACACTGGCCCAAGGAATATCAAGAGAACTGCCCCCCGGCCCTGGGGGGGGGGGGGGGGGGGGGCAGGGGGGGGAGAGGGGGTCTTGTTTGCCCTCCCCCCCCTCACTCAAAAGCAAGTTGGTACGCCACTGAGCGTACCATGATTAATATTTTGTGGTCTGGGGCTTTGTCTGGTGTCGCGATATTTCGTGCACATTATGGAGAAATCGTTTTTTCGCGAAGAGATATGTGTGCTTGAGAGAGTGCAGAAGTTCAAGAAAAGGCACACAATTGTGTCAGTCTTGAAAAAGGAGCCCAAAGCCCGTCCGCGTCCACGGCTGTTGAGAACATTGAGCGTGTACATGAACTGATTCTGTCGGATAGACGAGTTATAGTGCAAATTTGGATAGTGGATGATGTGGCAGATCATCTTCAAATCAGCCAAGGATTTGCCTACGCAATAATTCACGACGGACTCGTATATCGAGAAGTTTCTGCGGCATGGGTACTGAAATGTTCAAACGAATAATTTCTTAATCACCCTCGTGGTTTTCGGTATTAATAAAGTGAAAGTAAGTTTTGGCGCAATGTTGGCACAAATTCCACACTGTTGGGTGAAATGCAGCAGCGTGTAGCAGGGTAAGCACATTGGCGCTGCTTGACGTAAATTTCACACATTTTGATGAAACGTAGCAGCGTGTAGCAGGGTAAGCACATTGGCGCTGGTTGGCACAAACTGTGCTAGAATTACATTCGTACTAGCACAAACCCAGGGGCGCGCGATGTGGCGCCCGGTATATGTAATACTGAGTATAATAGTCATACTAGTTCATTATTTATTAAATTGAATATTGTACAGATTCCTAATCAGTATTATTATAAACTTTTTCTTGCATTGAAAAGATCTTTTTGCCAAAAAGAAAATATATTCTTATCTGTTTCCAACCTTAGGATGAGGGAGGTTACTTATGAAACTAGGTGTGCAGACGCATGGTTAGTGCCGCACTCCAGAACCAACTACGGAAATCAGACATTGAAATATATAGTACCTCGTTTTCTAAATCGCCTGAGTGAGTTGAATGTAAAAATTTTGAATGAAGCCATAAAAAAATGTACGTTCCATGTTTGTGAGAGAGTGCCCCTGGAATTTGTAGACTTGGCTAAATCGATTACTTTTCCCCCTTCCCCCCTTCCCCATCTAATGCTGTTTATTTTTGTGCTATAAGTGTGATGGTGAAAAAAACATTTGTATGTACATGCTGTCCTCTTTCGCTGCTGTGGGGAGGCAAAGGCTCGTCAAGCAACAACTGAGTTGCTTTTTTCTCTGTCTCCCCTCTCCAAACGGAGAGAAATAAAGAGTTTGAGTTTGAGTTGGAGTACCTGGTCACAAGAGCACGAGTTACGTCCGGCACAGACGTAACTCGGCCGGCTTGTGGAATTTGCCACATACTTTGTTACAAGAGGGAGATGTGGGACCCCAAGTTATTTGTCCATAAAAAAGCGCTGAAACATGTCCCAAAGAGCCCAAATTCACAAATTTAAACGTTACTTCTCAGATCGCATTGAACGCCGAGATTCAAAAGAATGCCTGAAAACTCACCAAGTACCCCGTCGCCAGGATGACAACGTCTAGCTTGACCTCTTGACCTTCCTCGTCCTTGAAGACAACCCCCGTCTCGGTGAACTCCTCGACGTCTCCCTTGACGATGATCCTCCCGCTGAGGATCCCGTTGGGCAGGGCGTCGTTGATGGTGGGATGCTGGTTCCGCCAGCGGTGCTTGGGCTTGAGCCGGTACAATCGATGGTCGAAGGCCTCGTTGGAGTACGTCTCGTAGACAAAATTCACCAGCCACTCGGGCGCCCACTTGTTGAAGAGGTTCGTGGTGCGCCGGTTGAGGAACGAGTCCGCCGGGATTCCCCAGAAGCCGACGCGGCGGATGACCCAGCACCCGCGACGGGTGCTTAGATACACCTGGACGCGAAAGGGGGTGTTCTGTAGACCCTTTTGCGAGTATGTGTCCTCTGGGCGCCGCCACCTCGCTGATGGTGTGGGCAGATCGTCTGATAGTCAAGCACCGCTGAGGTAGTGAGTACGCCTCGGCAATGCTCTACTATCAGACTATCACCCGCACCAGCAGCAAGATGGCGGCGCCCAGGGGACATAAACTTGCAAACGTCTACAAGACGCGGTCATACCGCGAATACATCATACAAAAGACAGTCTGCAGACATACGTTCAAAGTATACATATGTATCATGAAGATCTGCTTTCTAATATGCTTGGGGCGTGTCCACAGATATTTCTGTCATCGTGTCTGCGGAGGAACTCCGTGTCTTATGTACGATGACCGAGCAGTACGACAGCGGCTTTTCAGAGAGAATGTCACTAAGCCTTCGCTTCCCCGTGTGGCTGTCTATGATGCAGCGAAGGTCCGACGTTGGAGCTTTTACTGCGTTAGAACGACTAGGATGAAGCACTGCCCGGCCTCCAGCACGTGCTCGTCGCCTTCCGCCGTGCTTTGGCCGCGCGTAGACGCCCGGGGCTCGTTTTCTCAGTTACATTGCCGATCTACAACGTCAAGGCTGCTCAGCGTTCTCCGACTTTGGGGGATTTGTATAAGACACAGCTCCTGAAACTAGGACAGGTATCTCTTCAGGTGTATCGCTACAACGACAGTGTTGAATACAACATTATTTTTAGTGTCATGCGGATATTATAAATATCGAATAGTAGTTTAGAATAATACGCTATTCGATATTGCCTTCGAGATGAACTGCGATATTCGTATTTTTCTAAGTGTTGATCGCGGCGGTTTAGCTCCTTTGAGCGCCTTAAAGAGATGCTGAACCGAAATTTGGATTCCCCGAAACACGCGGCAAAAGCGTACAACGGGATGCTACAAACACAAAAACATCTCTCAGCGATATCTCGAACGGATGACAGTATTTTTCAAAAAAGGAGGCGCATTTGGCAGAAATGTTGACGTCATGTTTCTCCGAGAACGAGAGGGAACGACCTCGCGTCTTCTCCGCCTCGCTGCCTTGAGGGAGCGAAGCGAGGACAGGAGGAAACAAGGTAACTTGACATCACGCGCCTCGTCGGCCTGGTTCAATCTCGACCTCTTTTTCCAAAAATACGGCCGTCCATTTGAGATATCGCCTTAAGAGTAGTGTTGTAGGGATTGTAGCGTCCCGCCTACATCTCCTGCATTGTTTTTTTTTTTGAAATCCAAATTTCGATTCACCATCCCTTTGAGCGCGCTTCTTATCGAGCACCGGTGCACTGCGGAGAAGCGACACCCGTAAAAGCGAGCTCCGCGGGTGTTGCTTCTCTGCAGTGGACCGGTGCTCGGAGAGAAGCGCACTGAACGGGGTAATTCGCCGCGATCGAACGCCTGTAAAAGCATGAATATCGTATTTGCACGAAAGCACACTTTCAAAGCGTGATTTTGCACGCGGGCGCCTGGTGTGTCTAAAAAGAAATAGAGACTTTGTGAACGTTGATATCTACATTGCAGTGAAATTTTATATTTAACTGTGGCTGTTATGCAAGAGTATTTGTTGGGCAGAGATGCTCCGACAACCTGTGTTAATCATTCCTAATTCTTTTTTTTTTTTCAAATTCGAGATTGCATGAAGAACAAGTATTTTCGTTTAGCAAAGTTTGCAAATCCGCTCAATTAGGTATGGCTAAACATCTTCATAGGTTTACTTCTATGTCAAATCCGTCCTTTACTCGCCATCCCAAGGCATCGGACTTTCTGAGGTCACAGTCCATGAATAAGGTTAGATTAAAATTATTCAATAAATGAACGGCACGGAATTTCTGAGGTTAAGGTCCATGAATATAGTTAGATTCAAAATAAATTATAAATCGACAAGTGGAAGCTTGGGAAAAACCTTCATGAGTTTATCTCAGTTTTCATTTAAGCGTGTTGTAACAGTAGTGCAAGGTTTGAAGAAACTATTCGATATTCAATTCGAAAATATTCGGCAGTAAAACACGATTTGCTTTGAATTCAAAATCAATCATTCGCACACGACTAATCATTGTTGAATAGAACAGCATTGTATTCAATAGAGGTGCGTACCCAAACCTGTTTGCCTATCCTGCTTGGGCTTTTAGGCCTGCAGTAGGTTTATTTAATTAAATAAATTTCAGGTGCGGCATCACCTTGTCAGCTCCTGGACACAGGTCGACAGCCACATCCGCCCCAGAGTTGCCAACCCCAATGATGAGGATCCTCTTGTCCCGATAAGCGTCGGGCAGCTTGTAGTCGTGCGTGTGGAACACTGTGCCCTTGAACTTGTCCAGTCCCTTGAAGGTGGGCACGTGCGGGTAGACATGGTGGCCCGAGCAGACCAGGACGCCGTCAAAGGTCTCCGTCACGGGGTCTTGGCCCGTCGTCTTCACGGTGACAACCCAACGACCCGTCTCGTCGTAGTCGGAGCTTTTGGCCACCTTCACGACGTCCGTGTTGAAACTGTTGAAAGAGAGCACTCGGTTATATGAAGTCTCCTAAAAATGTGGTCCGGTCCGAACCAGATGCCAAAGTTTCAGAACTAATTGTTATCTTATTGACAAGTTATAAGTGATTTTCCGAAAATTTAAACGGGAAAATGGTGGCCGACAGAGCCCTCAAATACATAGAGCCCAAATGGCGCCAGTTACCAAAAACGGACTACGCTTTGCTATTAAAATTTGCAGAAAATCACTCATAACTTTTGAATGAGCTAACGATTAGTTCTGAAACGTTTGCACCTTTTTCGGACCAGCGCTACATTTGAGCTGAGAATGAGCGTTTTGCGATGGATTATTTATTTTTGCGTACTATTTTTTTTCTTAGGGGATCTTTTTGGGATTTTTGCACAGCAAGAATACATTTCATTGTACACAGCTCGTATGCATCGAAAATCAATTTCGATAAACATGGATTCAAGCTATGCCGAATTTACTACAATCGGATTTGTTTTCTACGTATCACGCAGCAATACGCCCATATGCCATGATCTTTCTCAGAAACAAGAAGGTGCTAACTTGAACTACAAATACCGTCACAGACATGTTTAGACCCCAGTTAATGGCGTCAGCACACGAGACAAGCGACGTGTCAGACCGATGATGCGGATGCGAACGGTCAAGAGACAGTCCCACGGAGCTCTCGCTTTGCACTCTGTTTCATCCTACAATGAGCCGCAACGGACGCCACGAGCCCTCAGATCCAATCCGATGCCATGTGAGTGTCTCACGTGACCTTCGGCAGTGGCGTGGCGACGCGCGGGACGCACAGGCAGGTGTACCTCGACAACGCGAGATTGGTTACATGGCTTCGTAGTGTCACTGGGGTCCATCGTAAGGTGAAAGTATAAATAATCCTGCTCATCCCCACCTTTCATCCTGATTCAACCAATCATAAAACCACCGGAACTGACTAATAACTGGGATCGTGAGCGACCGCACCCGACGGGTTCGTCCGCCTCACCGGATGTGCTTGGTGACGCCGAAGTGATCGGCGTACAGCTCGAAGTACCGGACGAGCATGGTGTGGTGCATGTAGTTGGCGAACTCCTTGGGCGGCGGGAAGTCACTGAAGGAGCTCATCTCCTTGCAGGTGTTGATGATGGTGGCCTTCATGAGGTTGGGCACTCCTTCCTCGGCCTTCTCCCGGTAGCGCCACAGGCCGCCCAGGGCGTCGGTCCGCTCGAAGACCACGGGCTCCAGGTCCTCCTCCAGGCAGGACTTAGCAGACGCAATGCCCGCAGAGCCGCCGCCCACGATGGCGATGCGCTTGCGCCCGCCCTTGCCGAGTCCCATGGCGCCGGGAAGCCTGGGCGGTGGGGACGGGAAGGGTGAATCAATCAATCGATCGGTCAGTCAATCGGACAAATATAAATTAAATGATCAACAAATCAATCGAACAATCATTCGACCATTTAACTGCTTAATTAATAAATAAGTCATTCAACCAAACAATGATTTAAAATCATTCAATCAACCAAAGACTTTATCACAGTTGATCAATCAATATATCAGTCCCTAAGTATTCCGACAATCAAGTGTTCCATAAGCGTGATTTTCACACGCTACCTCCTTCCACCCCCACCCCTAAAAAAAAAAAAAGAAAAGACAATAACGAGATACAAATTACTAGTTGGAACATATGTTTGACGATAAGAAACTTATTATGTGTTATCTGGAGTCACATGACGAACGTCGCCGTAAAGCTCTACATTTACGTTTATTCCATAAATAGAATTTCAGAATGCCATCTTACGTGTTAAAATGATAACTCTCCCCTTTTACATCTCATCCTGCGTTGAGGATCGACAAAGTTGAGGTCCCAAAGATCATTAACGACATTTCACACATCCTTTCTTCTTCGCAGAGCACACGAAGAGAACGACCTCCCCGATTTGAGCGCCTTACTGACCGTTCCGAAATGATGTCACAAACGACCTGTCTGACCGTTTATTTGTTGCTAAATTCTTAGTGTAATCGTTTACTGTTACTGTAGTTTCTGTAGTTACTGCAGTTTTACTGTAATCGTTTACTGTTACTGTAGTTTCTGTAGTTACTGCAGTTTTACTGTAATCGTTGCAATTTTACTACCCTTTTTCTTTTTTTGGATTTGCTTTCTATTTTTATGATGCATTTAAATTTTGAGGGCATATTCAGTAAATAAATAACTAAATATTTAAATTCGCCTCCCCCTACCCCCTCCTTTTTTTTTTCATCAAAGAAAACTGATGAGCAGAAGAAAGGGGGAAAATTCCCGAGCTAATAAATCGCCAATTACTCATTCCTCAGTCCCAGGTTCCCCTCGGGGGGCGTTCAACCCGGCGGCTACTTCCAGTCAATCACCGCGGAACAAGTTTTCCGCAGTGCCGCGGAAAGCGAAAGCAAAATCGGAACGGCGTTTTGCGAAGGCGAGGAGGGGGTGTCCCGTCCCAGATTCAGCTTCCCCGCCGGCTGCTGCTGGGTCAGTGTACCGCGCGCATTCACTGCCGCCATTGCCTCGCCATCTCCGAGGACGCCGGCAGCGCGCCTGCTCTTGACACGATTGGCCAAGAGGCCGCGCGGTATAAACTCGTTCTAGGCGGTGGCTCACTGCGGAACACCGGGTCACTGTCAATCTAGACGGAGGAACGCGAATGGGGGACAGTAACAGCAAACACACTCGACTCGAGCGTCCCTTTTTTGTTCCAAACTCGTGCCGTACTGCTCTCCCCCCTCCCCCTCCCCCCCCCCCCCCCCCCTTCCTTCAGTAAAACACCGCCAGACTTCCGACATTGGCCCCGAATTTCCTACACAGGCTACACATGCGGACCTAAAACACCTTCCCCCCCCCCCCCCCCTTTCTCACACACACACATAGATTGCCAATCCTGGGGAAGAATCTCCGGACGCGTGTATCAGCCTACGGACGTTTGCGTAAACACGCCTCGGCGGATTCATAATCCGCCAGAACAAAGCATACAGCGTTTAGGTGTTTAGGCTGTGCACATATTAAATGTCCGCAATCAAATTCTCATCTCCGACAACGAAAATGCAGTGAAGCATATTTGCGACCACCTATGCGAGACTGCCAGACGTTCTATAATCACTGATATCTGAGCGGGCTATAGGTGGTATTCACTAAAACACATCCATGTGCGCCATTTTATTCCGAAAGCTTATTTATATTTTTTTTTCTTCCGAAGCGCGCAAAAGAGCGTGTCCCTGCACGCGCTCGTGGAGCTGACTATGCTATGGCAACATTTTGTTCTCGACGATTTCTTTGTACTTTCCCTGTGAGCGCGTGCTGTCGGCATCGGGTACTACAAAGAGTGTTATCACCTTTCAAAAGTACACAGGACATTGAGGCACCCTATAAATAAAGTATAGGGTGCTTCAATGTATTCACGGGCGCCACAGTTGAGCCCGCTGTCGCAGAGAGCGAGCTCACGATGAGCTTCTACGACGCTTCCGCAACGTGCAAATCACACCACCATGCATGTTGGTGAGTCCTCTCGGAACATAAGCGGGGTATCCTTCTGAGCATGCGCTGTGAACGCTGTGCTCAAGTAAGGCGCCCAGTGAATGCCATCTATACGCACGCATCTTTGTAATGCCACCCTTTTTACTCAGTCCATCCGCACGCTGTACAGGTTCGCGTTCATAAAACGTGTTAATTTAAGCGGCACAACGAAAATGCTGCTACGGCACGCTACATCATCTGTATACGAAAGCTTCCGCGCACTGTAAAGACCCGAAACAATAAACTTACGGAGTAACACAGCGAAGCGCACCGTCCTCGTCATCCTCGTCGCCCAGCCCGCCGGTCGCGGCGGCCATCTTGGAAGAAGCGACTATCGGCGGGATTTGAAAGTGAAACTGAACGAACGGGAAGCGACTGAGCCTGTGACGCTTCATCGGAACCAGTCGGCGGCTCCTTCGCGGCGGGGAACCACCCTGGGACGACGAGTGCGGCTGTTTGCGGCCGGGACCGCTCGACGACAACAAAGGCGGCCTCGAGATTTGGCGGGAAGTGAACGCACGCGCGGAAAAGGGCCGCCACGGAGCTGCATTTGACTCCCTTTCTCTCTCACTCTCTCTCTCTCCTTGCACGGAATGGCAATGAAACAGCTGCAGACTTAATACTCCCAAAATTAGTGTTCTTTGTTTGTGAACACCACAATTGGTGTTTTTTTACTCCTTTTTTTTTACTGTGATACAGAAAACATTAGGTAAAAAACATAACTGGTGTTTTTTTACTCTTTCTTGGGCGTAAAACAGAACACGCTCTTTAAAATCCGCAAATAGCGTTGCTTTACTTCCTTTCTGGGCTATAAAACAGAACGCTCTGTAAAAACCACAATTGTCGTTTTATTCTCTTTATTTTTTTGGTGTAAAACAAGGCACGCTTTGTAAAAACCTAAAATCATGTTGCTTGACTTCCTTTCTGTGCTGTAAAACACAGCATGTTCTGTAAAAACCACAATCGGTGTCGTTTCATTTAATTTTTTTTCTGTAAAGCACAGAACGCTCTTCTGTAAAAGCAGATATGGTGTTCTTTTACTTCCTTTCTTTGTAAAGCAGAGCACGCTTTTCAAAAATTGCTAATGGTATTGTTTTACTCCCTTTGTTGGGTGCAAAAGCAACAACAACAACAGAAATTGTGTTGTTTGCTCCTTTTCTTTGGTGTGAAACAACACCTCGTACACTTCTGGGTGCAAGGTCATCAGATTGCGCATAAAACTACAGGTTGTATTTGTTTATAGCTAATAGAAGGAGAAGATTAAACTGTCAAAGGTTCAGCAGTGTAATTATACGTACATCGGCCCTCGCTTCCCCCATCTTCAAGTCAGAAGAAGCTTCCGATATAACAACAACGACAATTAGATATAAAGACAAACAAACAAACAAACATCGGATTGACGGCGGCCAATACGACGCTTTTTCCGTAAGACATTTTCTCTGTGCTCCGGGTTTATTATACCCCTGTCAGACGGCAGCTAAAATGGCATTTACGCCAAATGACATTCAGGTTTTCAAATGACATTCATGATGGGACCTGCCAGACGACAACTAAAATGACATTTAAGTGATGTCTATTACAATTGCGATCGCAAATTCGTCTCGTGCACATAGAACACGTTTTCGTCAATAAACAATTTGAACACGGCAAAACACTTGTTTTTGTGTGTGCTGTCTGCTGGGACAAGAAAATATAACAAAAAACTGGGATAGAAAGTTGCGCTCACTAGTTTCTGACGAACAAATAAAGCGAAGCGTGGGGCGAAATCCATTAGCCAACCTAACGTCGTCATAAGCCGATCCGTAAGCCGAGCCTCCCGCGCTCCGCCACTACAGCTGACAGCTTGCTCGCACAGTTCTTTCGTTAATTTTGGTAGTGCTTGCTTGCTCTGGCTGTCCCTCACGCTCGATCTTCGGCTGCCGTGTTCACTTCTACGTCTGCGAGGGATCTTGGATGCCGTATTGCGCTTCCGCCGTCACTATCACGGCGGTATGGATTGATCTTGGTTCGAGCGTCTCCGGCTGTTGAGAAGGCCGTCCATCATCTTCGTCGTAGACGGATTCCACGAGCTTCGGTTTGAAGACAGGCTACCGTACCTACTAACGTACTGCGTCTTCAAGCAGGCGTTTGGCTGATGTCGGCGACGTGATCAGGCACCTTGTGAATGTGTGTCGGTGTTACATAGAGTGCTTGGTTCGCCAGGTGACTTGCGTGCACCTAACCACCCCAGTAACAAAGTGAGTCGGCGCTGCAAAGCTATACTCTCCTGCGGAGGACAGAACCATCGCCAACTTGCTCGTCGTGAGGCAAACCACTGCCAAGTGATCGCACCCCTCCGACGCGACTGGCCGAAGATCTTGAGCGCCGCCGCGACCGCTGAACGGTTAAACACACACGGGATAACCGAACTGCCCCAGGACTCCCTCAGGTCATAGGGGATCGCTGTAGGAATGCCACCTGGGACATCAAGTTTCAGCACCAGCGGCTACCAAAGCACAATAAATATAGTAAGTACCCTTTTTTGCGAAAACCAAGAAAAAAAAAAAGAAATAATGTTTGAACTAGTAGAAATAATATCCCTACATGTTTTTTTAGCTCTTAGAAAATGCAGGCAATCTTGTTTCAAACTCACAAAATTAAAAAGATAAAAAAAATTCACTTGTCTTCCTTTTACTGAATGTCACCCAAAACTAACTGATATAGCTCCTGTCAGCATTCTAAAGTTATTCGTTAACTCGTTTTAATGTGAATAAAACAACTGGATTGATCATCTTCCCAATTGTGCATCTTTGATGAGGTGAAAATAACTGAATAACTGTTTCTAAATACGAGACAAGAGTGCCAGCTTCTAGCACTGTAAATACTATGTTTAGAAGCTATAGAATGTTTGCCATTCTGTGAAGTTTCCAAGAAATATTCCAAGCTAGCTGTGTGGTGAAATTTTGACTGCTCTGCTTCCCCATTGAATCTACAATTTTGAGAATAATATGTCTAAGGTGTAAGATATTTTATGCCTAGAGGACTGATGCATCTGTTGCAATGTTTCTATCCAACTACAGTGATTCCTCTGGCTCTCCTAGACCACTGCTACCAGTTCCAGTATCTCAATGTTGGGATGCTGAGGCAGTTTCGTGACCATCTTCCGGAGGTTGGCACTGGCTAGCACTCGGGAAGCAGTGACGCCCCAGGCACATATGGCCACAGTCAATGGGACCGCCGTGTCCCCACGGATCCTGTGTAACCACGTATTCCTGATAGCATTCAACATGCTCGAACCTTGCCCAACCCAGGACATCATCTTGCAGGAAACGGCACGTCGATCAGTCAATTCCGTACATGCGACGACTTTCCCAGACTTCTCAGCATCACTCCCAACTTCTTGTAGTGATGGATAAATTTCAGCCTACTACTGACTTGGAGAATTAGAGTGGATACAGGGGCTATGGTTTCATTTACTTCATGTGCAAGTGAAGCTGAAGCTATGAGCATGAGCATGTTGCCCTGAACGATGCTAACACTACATGACCGTGCATGCTTGGTAGCGACATTGAAAGCCTGGATCTTGCACTTAAAATGAAACGAAATCTTGCGTCGTGAGTGTTGTGTGTGCATCTGGCATCATCGGCGAGTCGGCAGAAGTCAAGCCAAGGCGAGTCAAGCTGGTTTTACCGAACCGTTTGTCATTCTGGGGACTCGTCGTAAACCACGTGTCTCTTGTCTAACTCCTCTTTTCTGCACGGCCAAGTCGGCCGCCTGAATAAAGCTTTGGGCAACAACGAGAATGAAGAAATTCAAACTCCGAGGCACGCAATCACACTTTTTTGAGCAACGACAGCTTCGTGGCAACTTGGCAACGACGAGAGCATATGGCGAAAAAAGACGAGCCTAACGTTGTCATCAAGGGGCGGCTGAGACATCTCGAAGAGTTCGACCCAAAAAGATTGAAACATGGCCCCTGTACCAGGAGCGACTAAACGTTTTCTTCATTATACTCCACATCGTCGAGGAGTCCCCAATATGCGCAGTCCCGTGTAGCGTTTGTGGACCGACAATCTACTCCGTCGTATGCTCGTTGTGTGTGCCAGTGGACTCCCTATGCGGACATTGTGTTGGAGCTCACCGTCCACTTCACACCGTGCCTGTCAGTGATTGTTCAGTGCTTAGCGTTTCATAAGTGCAGCCAACAGCCTGGAGAAAGCATCTCGAATTTCGTCCCCGCCCCACGCCGCTTCTCCGAACACTGCAACTTTGGTGAGACCTTGTCAGCCATGCTATGGGACCGTCTGGTGTGTGGTGTCCTGGACAAAAGGGTGCAGCGTCGTCCGCTGGGCAAACCAGTGCTGGAGCTCAAAAAGGCGTTTGAGGCTGCAGATCCTTTGCCTTTGTAGGAATTGCAGCAACGACATTGATTTCCGTCAACAGCCTAAAGGGGCACTCAAGTGGATTTTGAGATCGTCTATTTATTGGCATAACTCAATCTATGGGCTTTAAGCATTCTAAAAAACCCAAGATAGCATTCAAGGGCAGCCGATTTTCATAGTAAAAATCCAATTAAAGATTGTGGCACGCCACCTTTTCTGTGCCGTAGCGCAGAACACCAGGGGGTGCCACCGGACGGGAAGGCAGCATGGGAGGGCACGCGACAGCCAGTCACAAGTGACGGCTTCTCGGCGGACTGATTTTTCAAAGGCGCACATGTTTGAAAATTTAGTGTGCCGGGAAGCCATTATTCGTAATTGGCTGTCATGTGCCCTCCCCTGTTGCCTTCCCGTCCGATGGCACCCTCTGGCGTTCTGCGCCACAGCGCATAAAGGAGGGCATGCCGCAATTTTTAATAGAATTTTAAATAGCGAGATTGACCGCCCTTGTATGTAATTTCGAGTTTCTTAGGATGCTTAGAGTCCATAGATTGAGTTATGACATAAAATAGACAATCTCAGAATCCACCTGAGTGCCCCTTTAAACGATGACCGCTTTCTTTATTGAAAGTAGCTACCCACTCAGCGTTCTGTGCAGTGCGAGCAGTCGCGTCTCTAACATTTCGCGCCACAACACTCTATTTCCCCAACCAAGATCTAAACCACCATGCAACACCCTTATCATCACGTTCCATCCCTCCATACCCAGGCTCAGCAGACTAATCATTGAGACCACTTTCCACCTGGTAGACTTACAGTTATTTCTAAAGCACCCGCCCTAACTTCCTATCGAAGCCCAACTTACGATCCCTTCCAGTATGCAGCAACCATTCCGAAACCCCCTCATCTTTACGTTCCATCCCTCCGTACCCAGGCTCGGCAAACTAATCATGGAAACCAATTCCCACCTCAAAGACTCTACAGTTATTTCTAAAGCACCCGCCCTAACTTCCTATCAAAGCCCAACTTATGATCCCTTCCAGTATGCAGCAACCATTCCGAAACCCCCTCATCTTTACGTTCCATCCCTCCGTACCTAGGCTCGGCAAACTAATCAAGGAAACCACTTCCCACCTCAAAGACTCTACAGTTATTTCTAAAGCACCCGCCCTAACTTCCTAT